AAAAAATAATTCCAAGGGTTAGCATGGCATAAATTGCACGGCCCCTATGGGAATTGGCTCAGTGAAGAGATTATTGGTGTTTGGCCGGTTCGACCCGTACCTCGGTTATGTTACTTGGTCGATTTTCTAGTTTGGTTCTAACTTTCCGAAGATGTCTCGGTCAAAGTTATAGCTCGGTCGTTTCTACTTGACGAGTTAAGTCGGTCAAGGCTCGAGTAACGACCTCAAGTTTTCGCCCGGTTCAGTACTATTACCAAGTTTTAATCGATAGCTTGGCTCGGCTACAACCTCTACGAGAAGTCACAAACCAGTTTTTGCTCGGCCGATGTGTCATTTATGGATCTAAACGAGCGTTTTGCTTGGTTCTACCCAGATTCAAACTGTTCATCCCAGAGATAGGACGAACTCATTCGAACCTAGGAGAAACAAGGGGTATGGAAGCCCCAGCCATTCTTACTATTCTTGTTTGCCCTAGGGTGTGCAAGATCTAGGCAAGGGAAAGCAACTCTAATGGCCCTGAAAATAAACAAAAATACGAAGCATAGTGACACGGGAATGAAGAACATGTATGGAAAAACTTTGAGAAGTAGAAGTAAGAGATGCAAGGAGGGGTAGTGTGACTTACCAGAAGGGCAGGTGTGAGGGTGAACGCGACCTCGAGAGCTCGATTGTGGCCTTCGAAAGGATTTGAAATGGGGGATATGGCACAGAAACAGCAATGGCAGTGGTTCGAAAGCTTGGGAGGTTTAGGGCTTATGTGGAAGAGAAGGTGAAAAGTGAAGGGTTTTAGGCCCTTCGTTGGAATACAAAAGAGGGGGGAAGGAACCCCAAACGGCTGCGCCGTTTGAATTTTGCGCGTGCAGAACAGCTGGCTGTACGACCTAGTGGCGTGAAGCCACGTGGCACTGGAAACGCGGCTGTCAATACGGTTGTACGACCTTTGATAAGACTGCAGAGGAAATGGCCGACCAAACGGGACAGCTCGGCGATAGATTCACCCCCAATCATGCTCGGCTTGGTGATGGCGCAACTCAATCCGTTAGCTCGGTCACGATGGTAACCCCAGTCACGACAAGGTCGGATGGGGTTAAGGGGCAATTGAGAGGGAAGATTTGCGCCGTTAGTACGGCCGAGCAGAGATTGGACGGGTCCGTTTTGTTCGGTCTAAAGGATCGGCTGACCGGGCGTGAACTAAGCCTGGCCGAGCTGTGACTAGCAAACATTCGGCGGTGCACACAGCTAAGTGGCGAGACCGGGCTATGGATAGCTCGGGCTAAACTGCGAACAAGGGAGGGATGACGCGTCTCTGACCGGTGAGCCGAGATGGGAAGATTCAAGATAACCTCGGATGAAGGTAGAACGGACGGAGGCCGGCATGCCTCGCAACCGGTATGCCACGATAAACCGGTCAATACCTACCCGACCCATGAGCATCACCCCGCTGCCCCTTTGCCAAGGAGCAGTCTGGTGGGGCATAGAGTGGTTGAGCGCCTGTAGTGATAGTTCTTCGTGGGAGATAGGCCGGTCGTGGTATTGCAGTCAGGTGTGCCACCTGGGCCAATGGCACGAGGGAAGGGACATTTGCTCCACACATGCCTCAATACCATTAGACAGTTCTGCGTGTACTGATGGAAGGACTGAGTCTTTACACGCGTAAGGTGGTGAGAGGCGAGCACTGCCACCTGTCTTGGGAAGGACGGCAGAGGTAGTGCGCACATAATCTTGAGGCTGCATGGCCAGCCTTGAAATAGGGAGGAGGACGAACACTAGAGGTATGCAACTTCTTCTCCAAAGAGAATACTCTCTCTCTCAGTCTTCTTCTTCTTCCTCAAGTGGACTGACTTGATCGTCGGAGGGTCTATCCGGCACAACACCGCCAGGCAGCTCACCGTTTCTGTGTTGCCAGGTAGACGCCGTCAAGAGAAGCTTAGAGTACAAGGAGTACGGAAAACAGAGGATATTTCGCCCCCGTACAGTACCAACAAGTGATTTCCACTTGGCTTTTCTTTCCATTGCTAGCAGAAGCAAGAACACTTTTGGAGGCTACTAAATGAGCTGTCAATATGAAAATTCGATGCCTCTCTATATTTACAGATTGTAAGGTTTTGGTAGATAGTTTGGAACAAAAAAAGAAAGTTGGATTGAGAGGTCGATTTAGTAGTCCAAGATGTTTGGTCTTTAAGTAAGTATTTTGTGTTCTATGTGTAACTAAAGTTGATAGGTTGCTGGTTGGTCTATTGCATCGACTTGCAAAATCTGTAAATTTGCTATCCTATGTTTAATTCACTATTTTAGGTGTGCTAAAAAAAAACAATAATAATAATACAAACCCAAGACCTTATGGGCCAAATAACAACCTAACAATAACTATAAAGTTGAAAAAAAAAAAAAGGAAAAAAAGTTACGATTGGAAGAAAAACACCAATCTTCTTATAGATATGGTTTTGAAAAGCAAGACTTATATCAAAAGAAAGCCCAAATACGTTGTCGTCGTCGTCTTTGCCACTACTGCCTAACTCCACTACTATTGCCACTATACTTTGGTTACTGTCGTAATCTAGAGTTGTAGAAAAAGAACACTCACAACAATAAGAGAAGAGAATTGAAAGAAAAGAAAACCATTACAGATGTCAAAAATTCAAAAAATTATGTGAAAAATAGTGAGAGAAACTCTCAAATCTCTTTTCCTACATATAAAAAAACTTAAATCTACACTTTGAAAAGTGTTTTTGAAACTAGTCGATAACATGCCAAAAAGTCACTGAAAGGGCCCAAAAATCACCTAGAGATAGGCTTTCTAGCACCGCACTTTGGGCATTGAAATTTCTACCAGTAATTAAACGCATCACAAAATTTTAACTCCTAATTCTTAAATTTGTTTTGATTTTTTAATATAAATTAAAACTAAAACCAAAACCAAAATCACTCACATTCTCTCTCCTCCACTGGTCAATTCTTCTCCATCTCTCCACAGCTTTCACTCCTCTTGATAACCATCTCATCAGCTGTGGATCAATCTTGAACACAATTGTGGATAACAAGGTCTTCATTGGGACTTGACGAAACCCATTTCTTTGGGTGAATCATCTCTCTCACCAATTCAAAGTCTGGCTAAAATAATTGTATTTAGGAAGATAGTTAATTTTTTTTTTTTATAGTTGATTTAATAGTTATGAGAAAAAAAATAAAATAGTTATGGATTGAGTGTGACATTTTGTATTATTAACTATTTTCATATATTTTATTTTTTAATGGGTTGTTTTAGTCCAACCCTGACGCTGTGTTTGGTTGAGAAATTTAAGAAAAAATTTAAAAAAAAAGAAGGAAAAACTAAGTAAAATATACCAAATTTTACCTAGTTTCACAAACACACACACATATATATATATATATATATATTTATTTTTTTTTCCATTTTTCCGCTTTTTTCTTTATAAATTCATTTGCAAATCTAACTAAACACAACGTAAGAGTAGAGTGATAATTGGTAAAAATTAAGGGTCTTATCGTAATTAACCAAAAGCCAAATCGAAGCATCTATTCTATTAGGAAAATTCTATTTTCACACGCTTAGTTATCTTAGTGCACACATTTAATGAAATATTATTTTAATGATAATTATATCTTAAATTAAAATGATCATAATGGATATCTACTAACATCCATAATATTATATGAAAATATTATCTGTGCACATTTAAAAAAAAAAAAATAAAATCTCAACATCTCAACACCTCGCCAGCTCTACAAACATCTTCATAGTTTCATCATCATCAACGCATCTCGCTTGCTCCGCCACCTTGATTGCCATGTGTAAGTCACCTAGCAACACAGCCTTGTACATTGGCCCATATCTTTCTCGTCTTCTCTTTCGTTTTTCTCTCACTATGTTTTTCATTTACTAATCAATGAAATAGTTACAAGCACACTTCCGCGGGAGGTCATAACCTGCCATGCTTCTCAATCAAGAAAAATATGACACCAATTGTATCTCATGGAAATTCAAAGCCTTATTGACAAAAGATCATTTTCCCAAATGTTGAATCTGTGAATTAAACCAAAAGCAAAAATCCGTCAGTTGGGTTTATGATCGAGTTGTAACTTGTAATGCTGCAAGGGGATACAAAAAACTGATACGTATTGCTTTTAAAGCACTTCGAATCTCAACTGTCGAATTGGAAATTTTATTTCGGAACCACAGTGTCGAAAAAATCAATATATTTCGGAACTACAGTGCCGAAAAAAGCAATATTATTTGAACACCAAGTGTCGAATTAAAAAATAAATTTCGAAAAACTAGTATCGAATGTCAAAAATCACAATTTTTCAATAAAAATTAAAGGTTTCTTCTAATTTATCAATGCACTCGACAAAGAAAACAAAATGGTACTAAATATAATGAAATTGAAACCAAGTAATGGTTAGCTTCAATAGATCCGTGAACTAGAGTGTCGAATGGAAGAGGAGAATTAAGGGTCTTCAATAGAGTGTCAAGTTTTTATTTTGTTCAATGGAGTTTCTTTTCACTATTAAAGTCTTTATTGTGAACAGAAATAAGAAAGATGTTACTCTTTAACTTTGAATAGGAATGTGAAAAAAGAGTTTAAAGCCTTGTTTCGGGTATTTAAAAAAGTTAAAAAGTCACTATTCTATTTAAGTAACATCATATTATTTAAGTCACAACACCTCTCTACCAGATCACTTCAAACCCAACCCATACGTAACTCATATTTCACAAAAAAAATCAAAAAATACACTTATTTAGATCATTCCAAACCACTTTTAATATGCGGAAAGAAAGTTGACGGGTATATATATAATATATGAGTTAAGAGGATAATTGATATAATTGATGTACAAGATGAAAATAAAAATTAATAATTAAACTACTAGCTATCTACACTGGGGAAAAAATATTATGTGGAATTTCTCAAAGGGGAATTTTTTACTACGACACCGTAAACTTCTGTTTTTGAAACTTGAAAACGAAACGAAAAACAGTATTTATATCTGCAAGGGAAAAGGCAAGCTAAATTGTACATATTTGAGTAAATCGAGGCAATAATCAAAGCACGAGAGAGCCAGCGCGAAAAATAAGATAATTGACGGTGATGATGATTTGCTTTTGTCTTTTTTTTTTGTTTGTTTATCTGATCGGTGGTGGTGCTGCTGATAATGATTATGTTGTTTCTTCAATTTGAATTCCATCATTGAAGAGAGCTCTAGCTCTCAAAATCGAGGAGAGAGAGAGAGGTTCAGGGTTTCTTGATTCAGCCTCTGCACACAGAGAGGGGGAGAGAGAGAGAAGGTTAGGGTTTTGAAGATGACGGAGGTGATCCTCCACATATACGACGTGACGAATAGCGATTCAGATAAGACGAACAACACCATTGTTCAGATTAACAAGATCTTCAAAGACGGTATCGGTCTCGGTGGCATCTTCCACAGCGCCGTTCAGGTCTCTCTCTCTCTCTCTCTCTCTATATATATACAAGTATTTATGAAAACGCGAATCTTTGATTAGATTTGAGATCTAGGGTTTTAGTTTCGTTAATCGGTGCTCTGACGTTGAGATTATGACTTCGATCGAACAAACACGATTTTCTTGTATATTCCTGTAATTATACTTAGTTAATGGTTTGAATTGCATTTGCTTGTTTGGTTTGTGTACTCTGCTCTTTGGAGTCTTTCGTTAAATCAGCAATTGAGAGTTTTTTTTATTTTAGATGTGTAGCTCGAATCGATTTAGGATCAAGTTGTTATTTGCATTGATTGTTAGGTTTGAAAATACTGATTGTAGATGTACTTTCCTTAGGGCATCTCCACTGGTGCATTTTTTTTTCCCACCAAATTTGAGTAAAAGCTCACTTTGATATCAAGTGTTCCAACGGAGTGTTTTAAAGCTTTCATCAAACCACCGGTCGACTGGGCGGACAATCGGCAGGTCGACCGGCCAGTGTAATTTTTTTACAAATTTTTGAGGTGGTCATTGGGGTAAAAATCCAATGGTAATGAACAGTAATTTGATGAAAGGCATATCAGTCTTCAATTATTTGAGAAATCTTGGATTTGATGATGGATTTGGTGAACTTTTGGAGGAACAAAAATTAAGTTTTTTTCATCAAATGTAAATTTGATGATGAATTTGATGAACCATTGGAGATAGTCTTAAAGCATCTCCAACGCTTGCTTTTATTTTTTATTTTTTTTCCCATCAAATTTGAGTAAAGATTTGAGTTAAAAGTTTCATCTGATACCAATGCTAAATTTTCAATTTTTATCAAACAACCGGTCGACAGGGATGACGACCGGGAGGATGTCTACGCAGTCGACTGGTTTGTGTAAATTTCTCTCCATTTTTGCAAGGGACAACCGGCTAGACAATTGGCCGGTTGTCTAGTGTACTATGACGTCCCAACGGCTACTTGCAACAATAGCAGCTACTTTCTCAATTTGATGAAATGCTTAAGCCTCCCTCTATTTGATAAAAGTTTTTGGTTTTCCCTCATTTGATATAGATTTGAGTTCATGGTTGGACCAACAAAACTGTCCTTATTTCATTAAATTTAAATTTGATGGAAAAAAAAAGTTTAGACATCTGTGAAATTGAAATATAGAGAACTATGAATTTCAATAGTCTTTTACGTATCACTTCATCGTGTCTGCTCCTAACAAATTTAATTCGTGTATCTGATGCAGCTTGAGATGCATGAAATACCTTGAGGTTCTAAAGCAACATTTTGTATATTTTTTTTTCTAATGTATTACATCTGTTTTAAGGGAAGTGCTTAGCTCAAAATGTTTAGAGGTTGTCACAAAATTGAAAGGAATGCATATACTAATGCTTATATATACCTATTTTCAATGTCAGAAGACTGGCCATTGCAAGAAATAAAGTCAGACTAGTTGAAAAGAAATTGTGCGCGTAAGTTGGCTCGGACACCTAGTTATTAAAAAAAAAAAAAAAAGAAGAAGAAGAAGAAGAAAAAGAAAAAAGAAAAAGAGGAAGCATAAAATAGGGCTATAACATTATCCAAATTTTGTCATAGACTTCTGGGACACTTCTCATGAGACCTTGTGGATAGATTGATTGAAGACGTGTTTTTTCAACCACTGGACTATTCTCACATGGTTATTTTTATCTCATCAATGAAAAGATAAATGCACAGTTATTCAAAACTTATAAAATTGAAATTGGAAAACAAATTGAGAGGGAAACAAAAGTTGTTGATTTAACAGGGATTAAAGTATTATTGTAAATATTTAGACAAAGTAAGGGCCTTTTTTAATTTTATATTATGGAGTTCTTAAAAGAATGTGGGACAACGAATCAGTATATAACGCTCCAAACATTTGAACAAATTGAGTGGTAGAAAAGACACAATTGCAAAGTGGATTGTCCCACACTAGCAGTTCCACGCCATAATTCTACCAAAGGCAATCCTATTATAGGAATATCTTCAGGTACCCTTGTTACAATTTTTTACCACTTTCAAGTTTCATGGATATGATAAAGAGTACGAGTCCCTACTAACTTAGTAGTACTAAATTTGTTTCTAAGATTATATGAGTGGTGGACTGGAAGAAAGTCTACTCGTAATCATTCTCTAGTATGAGGTTGTTAGGCAAAAACATGATTCTATGACCCACAAGAGAAGAAAATCGATGAAAGGGCAATCAATTGCTATCTTGTTGGTTACCCAACTGGATAAAAAAGGATGCAGATCTTCTCATCCCAACCATTATAGTGAGAGTATGAGCAAAAGCAAGCGAACATTTTGCTTGCTAGCCAAAGTTAATTTATGGTTTGAAATACGCCTCAAGACAATTGTATATGAAATTTCATGAGGTAATAATCTCTTTGGCACTCTTTTGGTTTTCAAGAGAATGCATTGCATCAATGTATTTCAAGATTAGTGGGAGCAAAGTTATCTCTATGGTTTTGTATGGTTAGTAAGTAGAAACTCAAGTTTACCACGCGAGACTAAATATTTTCTTTTAATAATTTTGAGATAAAGGATCTTGGGAGATCTTTTATTATTGCCATTGAGATCCATCGTGATCATAATCATAGCCGGTCAAACTTTACTTTGTGAACCTATACTAATTGGATTGTCATTCATTTCATAAAGCAGGCATGCTCTCTTGGTAAAACACATTTTATGAAGGTGAGATTGAATAATTATCAGTATCCAAACGGCAAGGAATGATTTGGTAGTTAAGCAGATGAAAAATGTATTTTATGCTTTTACAGTTGTTAGCCTGGAATATATCTGAGTTTGTATAAAACCTGACATGGTAATCATTGTGCTTCAAAAATATTGAGGCAATCTTGGATTGGAGCATTGGAAGATTGGTAAGAAGGTCATGCTTTATTTGCAAAGAACCAAAATCTTTATGCTCACATATAGTAAATCAGATAAATTGGAAACAATTAGTTATTCATACTCTACATTGAGTGTTAGTGTTGATACACAATCAATTATAGATAATGTTTTGCTATTATGTCAAACAATTACTTGTTACTTCATCCACTATGCTGGCAAAATTTGTGACTTAATATGAAAATACTGTTAAAATTATGTAGTTGGGGACTTTTATCTCTAGGCATAGGTTTGTTGATTCTATTCCAAGCCTACAAGAATTTACTCTGATAATTCTGAAATTGTTTCATTTGTCAAGAACAACAAGAGTTCTACTTCTTCTAATCACATGGAAATTAAGTATCTTGTTGTAGGAAAAAAGTTAATAGAGTTATAGACATTTGTATAGCACATCGATAGAGAGAATATGATTGTTGATTCATTGACAAAAAGATTATCCCATAATGTTTATGAAACATGTAACTAATATGGGAATAATTGAAAGTTTTGAGATAACTGATTAATGACTTTTGTGTAACCATGTTGTAATGAAATATTTTATTGGTTGTATGTTTACTCTCTTAACTATTATAATATTACTCTTTGTACTAGTGTTATTAAAAGTGATAAGCCCACCAAGGCGCCAAGCGAGGTGTGGGCTTCATCGAAGTAAGGCGCACCATGGCAGGTTGAAATAATATAATTTAATATGAGGCATATAAGTAAATAACTAACTAGTATAACATAAACAAAATGAAACATTGAACATTTTAAAAAATAAATATCAACAAATATCGCTATTTTAACGTAGACAAATGAGTAATATTCCAAAGTTCAATATAAAACACGAATATCCATGATCTAAAGGTCAACTAAATCATAGAAGTAGAGAAAAAACAGAGCAATTTAGAATAAATATTTAATAAATAGAGCAGTCCATAGAAGAAAAGTAGAGAAGAAAATAAAATAAATAAACAGGAGAAGAAGAAAAGTAGAAAATAAAAGCAAACAGAAAAGCAGAGAGGAAGACAACGTGATTATATTTGAAGCCCTAAAAATCTCAGCTCAGCCTAACTCTATAGACAAAAACCGAGCATTCTAGAAAATAAATGAAAAATAGGAAGGTGGCAACATGGGGAAGAGAAGAACAGAAGAAAAAGAAGAAGAAGACGACTGGTGAAGAGAAGAGGAGAGAGAAGAGAACATATGAAGAGAAGGGGAAGAAGAGACAAAGAAACAAAGAGAAGAAGAACATACTTGCACATTTGAAGCTTTTAGACTCGATGACGAGTTCGACTTCTTCGGAGCTTTGGATTAGGGGTTTTATTTTTATTTTTTATTTTTATTTGGGGCTAAATCGACAATATTAGCATGTATATTTGAAGGATATGATTTGCTGTAGCTGAGCCATGTAATTTCAATGGTCCAATTCGAATAAAAAAAGAAGCCCTCTAGGCTTGCGCCTTGGGCTTAATTGCTCCTTGTTCCAGTCGTGCGCTGTAATCATGCCTTAGTGAAGTCGCCTTGCCTTGACCATTGCAAGGCGCAGGGGGTGGGCATGGCTGTGCCTTGAGCCTAGGCACGCACGCCTAGGCGCTCTTTTAATAACACTGGTTTGTACATGTTTTATTTGTATGACGTGTTGGCTTCATAATGGTTTTATGGAAGTGTTATGAATGTTATTGTTAAATGAATAATAAAGTTGGATAAATTTGAGAATAGGCATGGTGATGACTTTTATATCTGTTCTCATGATTATCATCACTACCATCCTTTATGGCAGCCATTATGTCGGTATAATTGCTAGTGCTATAACTATAGAAGGTCATATATCCCTTGAAGAGAGGTATTGATTGCCATGATTCGGTCATATTAGTGGTTACTAGACTAGGTCTTGACCCCAAGGTGAAGCCTATTACAAGCAATGTTTAAATGAGTGGCCACTTGACAAGTGTTAAACTAGAGGAGTCATTTTGAAAATATTTTTACAAATGATAATCCAATTGTCATACATGGCCCAACTAGGAGAATGTTAGAATTCATTGTGGGCTAATATGCAAATTGATTTTGAATTGTGAAAAACTTGATTGGTTGTTGCTCGGACCAGTGTTACGAAAGGTGCGCCTAGGCGCAAGGTGCAAACAGTGCGCCTGAAGGGATCCAAGTCAAGGCACGTTTAATAAGTTGTGCGCCTTGGCCTTGACTTGACCAAGCGTTGTAAGGCGCAAGCCTCAGAGGGCTTCTTTTTTCTTTTCTTTTTTATGATTCTGATCTAACGGCTCTGATCTGTGTTCAAAAGGCTCCAACAACATAGGATTACAGCTCATACAATGCAACTCAACCCGAATTAATCGACTCAAATCCCTAATCTATCGAAGAAATCTGTGTCATCTCTTCCTCTGGACTCGTCTCTCTTGACTTCGATTGAGGTAAGTTCTCCTCCTCCTCCTCCTCCTCCTTTGCTGGTTGCTGGGTATTTGATTCGACCTTTTTTTTTTTTCCCTTCTTCTTCCTCTTCGTCTTCGTCTTCCTTTGCTGGTTGTTAGATATTTTTTTTTCTTCTCTCCCTTCATCTTCATTGCTTCTTCAAGTTACTATATATATATATATATTTTTTTTTTCCCTTCTTCATCTTCTTCACCGGTTGCTTTCTTTTTCGATTTTCTTTTTTTTTTTTTTTTTTTTTTTTTTTTGCTTCTTTGACTTCGACTCTCTCTTCTTCTGTGCTCTTTGTTTTTTTTCTTTTTCCTGCTTCTTCAACTCAATTTCTTGCTCTTTGTTTTTTTTTTTTTTCCCCGGCTTCTTCTTTGTTCTCTATTCTTCTTTTTCTTCTTCTTATCTGTTACATGGAATAATGCAAAAATGAGAATAGCAGCAGTCTTCTTTTTCTTCTTCTCCTTCGCTGTTTTTTTTGTCTTCTCTTTCATGCCTGTCTCTATTTTTTATTTATTTCGCTGTTTTTTTTGTCTTCTCTTTCATGCCTGTCTCTATTTTTTATTTATTTATTATTTTTTTGCAATTATATGTCTTCGTTTTTTTTATTATTATTATTTTTTTAAAAATTGTCTTAGTATTAGTATGAATCATTAGTCTATGTTAATTTATCTATTTTTTACTAAGACTGTGCGCCTTGCTTTAATAAAACCCACGCCTCGCCTTGTGCCTTGCGCCTAGGCCCCAAGAGACCTTTAGCGCCTTGGTGCGCCTTGAGCCTTTAGAAACACTGGCTCGGACCTACAAGGCATGCTGGTGATTGCATCTGATGGCTAGTGATCGTTTTCTCTTGGGGTGAAGGCACACCTTAGTTACACCATAGCTAAGTGTACAATAAGGATGGAGGATTGTGGTAAGGGTTATTTGAGTCGTTGATGGGTTAGGCTCAACACCCTATATAAGATGGTCAGGCCCTACTCTCACATAATGAGCTTCTCAGTCCCATCTAAAAGAGAGCAATCAGCAGTGCAGAGAGTAGAAGACCTATGCTCTAGCTTATTATCATGGGTCAATTTCATGATTCAACTTCCTATCAGATTCATTCAACACGTCTATGTTTGCGATATACCTTGTATTTATTTAATAGGTTGGTTGGTGGTGTGCATTCTATTATGGCAAATAAAGAATGGAAGAACCTTCTCACTGTTGAACAGTGCCCACAATGTTGCCATTGATTGAGAGTTCTATGAAAGGGATTCTTCCTCTCCAACCAGCTTATCCATGTTACTTATTATCCTGGTTGACTCACATAATAGTGGTCATGGCTGTCAACTATTATCTTCTTTTTTGTTCTCTTTTTAGAGAGCATCTTTATGCTTCATAAATTTATTCATTTTTGTGGATTATGGTTCTTTTCAGGATTTAATCCTAACAATTACTTTTTTAGTACTTATTGATTCCATGTTGACTGAGTCTTGATACTTCTGTATTGTTTAGAAAACCAGATATGACAACCCTCTTCTTTTGATTTTCTCTTTTTAATTGCTTTAGTAACAACCCAAAATGCTCTAATCTGCAAAGCACAATGCAAGAGCGGTGATGTGATCCAAATAAGTGCACTTATCTAAGTAAGTGCACTTATTTAGTTTATGCCAAATAGTGCCTAAATAAAAAGTAATATCATCGGATTACTTCTTTTCTCTCATTCATGATATCATCAAGTTGCTTGTTTCAAGTGACCTTTTGTAACTAATATTTGAAATATTAAATTTTTTTAATTCAATCTTTAGAGGAGAATTAGAAGGACCTAACTGTGCACTTTTGAAATATTAAGGTTGTGTTTGGAAGGGTTTTGGAACTTTAGTTCCACCCGTTAGTTTGCATATGACATTTGTTTGCAGCTTTTAAAAATTAATTCCACGCTTAGTTTTGAAAACTCGGTCGAAAACGGAAAAATTTGGGCCAAGCAGTTGATTGGAATAGTGCAAATTATTATTATTATTTTTTTTTTTACACGTGAAGTTTGGAAGGGTTTTGGAACTTTAGTTCCACCCGTTAGTTTGCATATGACATTTGTTTGCAGCTTTTAAAAATTAATTCCACGCTTAGTTTTGAAAACTCGGTCGAAAACGGAAAAATTTGGGCCAAGCAGTTGATTGGAATAGTCAAATTATTATTATTATTATTTTTTTTTACACGTGAATTTTTATATATTCAACAAAAAATATTTTTCAAATTTTTTAAAATTTTTTTATGAGCGTTAATAGAATTTTGAGTTGTATGTTTGGTTATGAGTTGTAAGTTTTTGTATCAAATATCATATGGCACATCAAAAATTCTCCACTCAATTCAAAATTCTTTTCAAAACTCATTCACCAAACAAATTTTTCACACTTAAATCATAATTCCAAAACTCACAAATTCAAAATACAACTCCTATTCTCAAATCATATTTAGAAAGCTCTACCAAACGCTACCCAATTTTTTTTAATTCAATCTTTAGAGGAGAATTAGAAGGACCTAATTGTCACTACTTGGGAAAACAGTTGAAAGCATTACAAAATGCTTGCATGTGTTTCCTCCTTCCCCTTGATTTGTTTGGAACCTTTTGCATCATGTATCATAATACTTCATTCACATATTAAGTTCTTTGTAGAGTACCACAACTCTTTATCTCTTGTAATATGCCATTTTCCAATTCACAAGTGTTTAACTGATTTTCGATTTACATAGCAGAAGCATATTTCTTGCATTTGTATTACTTCATTAACCATGTATAGATGTGACTTTATGTTAGTGGTCACATTGTGATTTTTAAGTTCATGTTGTGTCAAAGTGCATATGGAGATTTTATTCCGCTTAATTAGATGGAATGTGAAATGATGGCAGGTTTATGGAGATGAGGAATGGTCGTTTGGGTTCTGTGAACAAGGTACTGGAGTTTTTAGTTGCCCGGCTGAAAAGAATCCGATGTATACATATCGTGAATGCATTGTTCTTGGGGAAACAAACTTTTCTATATTCAAGGTCAATCAGATCCTAAGGGAACTAAGTCGGGAGTGGCCTGGATGCTCGTATGACTTGTTGTCAAAAAACTGCAATCACTTCTGTGATGAGTTCTGTGAAAGGCTTGGTGTGCCTAAACTTCCTGGTAATTTGCGTTGCTCTCTCTCTCAAAGTCCTTGGCATCCTTACTTGGGATTTTTGTTTTTTCTTTTTAATACAAATGATTCTAAAATATTTCCTTTGCATTTATGAATCAATTGCCAACCATAAGTGTAATTAACGTCCACTGTTCCTAGAGAAAATGTGTGATGCAGTGTTTCTTCCCCATGCATATTCATTTGTCCTATATGCGGCATATAGTGCTGAGATGTGGCATACAAAGTGAAGATGGATAAAGTCTTTGCAGTCTTGTTCGTTGACCTGAAATATTTCCGTGCAATTTAGTTCCATTATATTCTGCTGTCTTCACTCATCAACCTAGATAATTGACTTGTATGTAACAAGTTTCCCAGTCTAGTATAAATCTGGTTCTAATATAAAGCATGAATATGAATGAGGTCTCCATTTTTATGAATTACTTGAATATGTTAATTATGGGTTTTGTTAACCGTGTAATAGTGGTATTAGTTTCCAACTAAGTTACATGGACTCATTTGTTTTCATTTATTTAGGGTAAAATGATGTTTTCAAACTAACATAAAACTTTTTATTCATAAAATCAGAATCCTATGCATAGTAATACTTAAAGCATAATTGTAGGTGCATGGCCAACTAGACATGTCGAAGATATATCCCATATCCTAACTCAAGTTTTTGACATGGGTACTTAACAAATTTAGAAAAGTTTGTGTAACATTGGTTTCTAATCAATCTGACTTAGCTTTTAACATAAAACTTGAATATTGGTGAGATCCACAGATTACAAAATGTGTAACACGGTACTTAACAAATTTAGAAAAGTTCGTGTAACATTGGTTTCTAATCAATCTGACTTAGCTTTTAACATAAAACTTGAATATTGGTGAGATCCACAGATTACAAAATGTGTAACGCGGTATTTGAGATGTTTGAAGTATTTTATACAAACTTATAATGTGTTTCTTGTGTAAAGTGTTGGGAAGTGTCCGACAAGTGTCTTGTCATGTCGGTGTCTTGACACCGTGTTGGACATGACACGGTACCTTCTTAGATTTGTCTGTGCTTCTTAGTTGGTACTAGTAGTTCTGGTTATAGTTGACTGCAACCTTGGTGCTTTTGTCCTGTTTTCTTTTACCAATGAAAATAAGAAATGTGTTTTAACCTCAATTATTCTATGGTTGTCATTGACAATGTAGAAGATGTTCTTATAGCTTCTGTAACAGGTTGGGTTAATCGGTTTGCAAATGCGGGTGATACCGCGGCAGAAATAGCAGGAAACACAGCATTACGGGTAAGATTGTCATACTCTGCTTCTGTGGTTTTACCTCAAATCCAAAAACACATACATCCATACTCTCAATAAATTGAATTTCTACCATGATATGGACAGTTTAAATTTGCCTACAACTGGTTTGCTACAGAGTTTTCTTTTGCAGTATAGACTTGTTGGTAGCACATTAGGCCCTGTTTGGGGTAAAGCTAAAAAAACACCTTTTTAGCTTTTTTTGGCTAAATAAGCCAAAAAGTGAAAAGCCTGTTTGTCATCAGCCAAAAAAACTAAAGCCCACCGCCCACTCAATTTTCCTGTTCACAAAGAAGCAATTTTTTTGGTGACTTCACCAATGCATGTGCTTTTTTAGATACTGAAGAAGACAAAAACACTAAAAAGGCCAATGTCAGTATTTATAAAAATCTAGATTGCAAATTCGCTTCTGATTCGCTAGTTGGTGAGGCAATAGCTTACCAAGGCGATGATTAGTAGTTGGTCTGAGAGGAGGATCAGCCACACTAGGACTGAGACACGGCCTAGACTCCTACGGGAGTTGAAAATTCAGGGATAATTGAATGACTGTTGAGTATTGACCTTTTTCTGGCTTGTTTCAATTGTGTTCTCTTAGATTTGGTGCTTGTTAAATGTAGCTTCTCTCTCTGGTGGTTTTTGTCGGTTGCAGCTGAGACAAGCTAAAACAGAGATAGTATCGGCTAGCAAAGTGGCCTACCGGTTTCTTCTGGGTGTTACTTCCAACCAGTCTGTTGCAGCTGAGTCTCCAGGCAGTACCAACAGAGGGAGTCCGAGATTCCAAGGTAGTTGGTTTAAAAACCTTGTTTCAAATGGTGCCAAACCATCCAGTAGTAGTTCAGAACTAGAAAACCAAGAGGTGGCCGTGGTTCGACATCAGCAGCAATGACCAGATACAGCAGCAAAAGGACCCAGTCAGCATAACTTGATGCCGTGATATTTGAGGAAGTTTTCTACTCCAGCATCATTGTTTTGTGTTGTACTAGTTAAAAACCTTACGAAGCCATTGTTACAGTTATTCTTTTGTGAATCATTGTAAAATGCTTAAAGTTACTTTCTTTTTGACTGTCACATTTACCTGTTTTCTTCCGAAGATTCTGAATTACAATGAAGTGATTGCATATCTTGTGTTATTTCTTGTCATCCTGAATGTAACATGATCGGTACTAAAGCAGTCTTTGGAAACAATCATGTAGAACTATTGCCGATTTTTGCCCAGTGTTTTCTGCTAACCGATCATAAGTTGTCCAGAATATTTGGCAGTTATGTGATGGTCACCCTTTCTGTGTTTTCAATTGAACAAAACCAGTTACAAATGTGTGATTCAACAGCTGTCAGACCATAGTTACTGATGTACAAGAATTGTTAGTTTGATGAGATTGAATGTGTTAATGCAATTAGGATCAGACAATTTCCATAGTTCAACTCCATTAATTTTTCAATGTAACTTGTATGTCTGACAGCTGAACAAAGTAAAACTCTGACACAGACAAACCAACCGCCTGAGCGGTGAAAACAAATGGTAATTAAGAAATAGTACTTGCAAGATAAACTCTTTCATGAATCCAAACTGTCATCACATTTGAGAGAAGATATATTCAACTGAGGAATCTTGGAGACGTGTAATTTGGTAAGCAATGCAACCACAATACTGGGAACACAAAATAGATGCGTTAATTTGATACTACATAGAAACTCAGATACAATGACATTAATCTGATATTCATGGAAATCACTCTCTGCAGAGAAAACGGATATATGGCTCATTGATGTCTCTGTCCCGCAAACACTTCACAATGACATAGCAAGCTTTAAGACACAACTCAAAATCATGTCACTCAAAAAGAATAAAAGCTTCATATCCAATGAACGGAAAGGGCTCGCGCACGACAAATATATACACAACATTATTGAGAACCATGACTACGATAAACGATACCACACGGTGAGGAGAACACGTAAATGAGACTGTTCATCTGGTGGTCTTCTTACCCTCGTAACATTCTGTTGAATACGTAAGAGTCAACATGTGCATCTTCTGCAATTTGGAGTGAGGCAACAGCCTGTGCTGCAATATGACCCGCAGAAATTTCTGCTGTCTCCCAAACTCTATCATCAGAATATGGCGTGTAAAGATCCAACCCAAAAGGCCCAAGAGAGACTGACCCATCACTGTTTCCCCACTCGTTCCATTTGCATTCAGATCCATGAGCACAAGGAACCCACCTGCTTCCTTCCAATGAATGTTTTGAGAGGTCCTGATGAGGAAGGATCACTCTTGTTCCACCCATAAAGAGGTCATTGCTAGCGCAATCCCAAGCACCGAACCCTGTATCCTTCTTCAGCATAATCTTGCATGAATCCTCCGAGTCTTCACCAAGTAGGACATGAAGAGCAACTGCCTCAGCAATTGCAGCACCCTCCTCGTCAAGCCTCTGTTGTTCTTCAATCTTTTTCTGTTTCTTCTTTTCTAGCTCAGAACGGATGGCTGCTGAAGTAGCCAGGGCTTTCTCCAACCGTCTCTTTTTCTTCTCAGCCTGTTTGATGCGATCTAACTCGTCCTTCACCTGCTTCTTCTTCGCTTTTCTAACACCAGGTGGAACTTTGGTGCACTCCATGTTTCCAATTCGATTACCAACCTCTCTACCCACTCAGTCTTGTTTGCTTAACTTCTTTCTCTTAAATAAAACTAAGATGTATACATTATCTCTATAAATGTTTCTTTTATTTATTTTTCCCCCTTGTATAGGTTTCTATACTAGTAAATACTAATCAATTCCAAACTTGGAATAATTTAATGTCAAGACATACACCTACACCCACTCGGGTCTTAGTGGATACTTTATCTTACGCACAATGCATTCCCAAACAGAAACAACAGGAGAGAGCAGAAGAGAAAAATCATACACACTCAGAGACCCATGTCTTGACACCATTCTTCCTAACTTCCCACAACCCTTGCATTTACCCATGTGTACACCAATAGAACAAGTAAGCCAATTGAAATTGAGAACGTAACACTTCGAGTCTGGTTCAAACAAGTTACATGGCCTTCCACCCCTGCAGTAAAAACAAATAATCTAATATCTAAGACAGAAATTTGACAGGAAAAAAAAACCCCTCTAGAGCAACAGATGAAACAATTTATGCACCCAATGAACGACAACCAATGGACACAATTACTAAAATTAGAGAAATAATGATGTGTGATCGGTACACCTGCATCAGGGGTCTTGACAAACCTGTCCTCATTAATTACAGATGAAATTGAAAACATAGCTAGACAATGAAAGTCTACTCATACACTGTCACTCTTGGGAAATCAAACAAGGACATGTTGATTATATGTATGTGTGTACAATGTGCAAATATATACTAGAAGACCTATGCACATTAATGTATGCAATTGAAATTGCTCTTGGAAATCATGGGTGAGAGTGAAGATAGTAGCGGGCAACTAAACACATCGGTTTTTATTGGTTAATTTTTCATTTTTTAATCCATAAAGTAACTGCTAGGCCAAGCCAAATATTTAGAGAAATCTAGTATTGTTGTAGTTATTTTTGGAAATCAAAATTAGGTGACGAAATTCACACCAAATAATTTGTGTGCTTTATATACTAGAATATATTGATAGAATAAATATAGGGTAAAAGTACTAAAGACTTGAAATTTCACTCTTTAGGCCTCCAGAAAATGTGGTGCACAATTGTTCACCCAAATTGAGTAGAATTTCAGTGAAGTCAGAAAACAAAAGGCAGATAATCAAAACCCTAAATTATAATCAGTGATATCATCAAGAATGCTTAACAACCTAATAAAAACCCAATCCACTAGATCACACAACACTTAAATTGAGTAGAATTTCAGTGAATTTTCAGAAAATAAACAGCAGATAATCAAATCCCTAAATCATAATCATTGATATCATCAAGAATGCTTCAAAACCTGATAAAAACCCAATCCACTAAATCACACAAAACCCAAACTTCAAACATTAGAAACCTTTAGCAAACTGAGTCAAAAACTAAAAATTCATACTATAAACATCTGATCCACCGCACTCAAACACACAATTTCACACACAAACACAACAATTGAATGCAACAACAGTAATTATCAGTAGATCGAAACACAAATTAGGCTAAATTACACAAAATTCAACAACATAACAAAACACAAGAACTATTTCCCAATCGAAACATCAATTCCGCAAAAAATTAAACCAAAAGACAGAGATGTGAATGTATCGAACCTTGTATAGATGTAGGAGAGAGAGAGAGAGAGAGAAAAGGCCCAAACTTTGTCTAGGGAAGAGAGAGAAAATGAAGAATACGTGTTTGTGAGTGCTTGGATCTTGAGAAACCTAATTTTCTAGAGAGAGAAAATATAACTATCTATCACACGAAAGAGATTGCCGGTGAGAGATGACGGGGACGATTAGGAGAAGAAAGGGCAATAGTGCCATTTCAGGAGGTGGGCAACACGTGGCAATTGTTGGCCTATCCACATCCAGGGATATGATGCCTTTTCTTTGGGCCATCCTGCGGTTGTTTTGATGACACTTGGCGACTTGTGGAAGGATTGATTTGTTTTCACTTGGTCCCACTTTACATCTGGTGTGTACGAATGGTCCAGATGTAACATAATCTGCTGATTAAGGAGGCTCCTGTGAGATGAGCAATAATTCACTGCGCCGACATATAACAAGAAAAATAGGTGATACATTAAATTTGATCTCGTCTAAATCGCTCGAATTTTGTAAGTTGGACGACTGATGTAACCCTTATAATTGTGACTGTCATTTTTATTCTTAAATGACTGAGGCTCATTTTGGCAACATCTTAAAAAAGTCAATTTTTTGACTTTTTAATTTTTTGTAATCAAAAAAATCAATTTTTTTTTACCTAAAATAAGTCAATTTTTTACCAAAAAAACTAAAAAAATTAAAAAAATAATTTTTTACCAACTTTCTAAATCATTCACATGCACAAATTTAAAATATTGCTCATGTAACAACTAAGTGATTGTGCTGAGCTGCCTATTTATACGGAGATCATAGGAGATCACACAAATGTACCATTCAGATATGTTTGTGGAAATAAAATATTTTTTTCCTTAGATATGTGGTTGATGAATTCCAAGGCTTTCCTATAGTTATGTGCTCAATTATTATATATTTATCTTATTTTTATTTTTTAAAATGGGAACTATCATTTTTGTTGAGTTAAATAGTCTATTTCATTTTAAAAAAAATAAAAAATAAAAAATAAAAAATCATGGCCTTATTTGGTGCAATAAATTATATTTATTTTTATCTATAAAAATGAAGTTAAATAATATAAACATGATAAATTAAATTGGAGATTGGATTTATAAAAATTGAAAATCGTAACTCCATGGGTGATGTTGGTGTATTGTGGGATTAATCTATATTCATGCTAATAATCTAAACCATTTATCTCATATGACAAATTAAAAAGAATATGCATGCAAAGTTGATCAGACATAAATAGTCACATGATTAAATTATATATATATATATATATATTATAACACATGTACAATTTATTCTTAAAGCATATCGATCGTATAGCTAAAAATGATCTAATAGTATGACATTTGGTATTGGATCAATTTGATTTTTTACATAAATAATTTTCTTAGTTAGTTGTATGAGATAAAAAGTTTAAATCATCAAAGTGAGTCCAATTAATCCGATAATAGATCAATTTCACTATGAAATTGAGATTTTCATTTTTAATAAATCTAAACTCATTAAATTGATCTTTGCTTAATATAATTTTTTGCTCACCTTATAAAAATTACACTGATTCTCTGTCAATGTTCGTCTTTTAATGATGTTGATGAACAAAATAAAATTATGTTATTATCATCACATGCTGAAACAAAATTATGTAATTATTCTCACTTCTCAATCTCAATTGAAATTTGTCTCCTCTGTCACTTTTGAGCATAGCTTTGCTTACACATTTTCAATATAAATTCTTATCAATCTAAAACAGTAGAATTCACAATTTTAGGTTGCTGCAAGATTGCTGCAAGATAAGGAAGACTGGGGTTATTGGTCGGAGGTGAGAACTGTGATAACCAAAGGTAGTGGTTAGGGGTGGGGTAGAGTAGGGATTTAAAAGAATAAGGATGTAAAAATGATGTAATAGTAGATATTTTGTTAAATATAAAGAGATAATATTATTTTACCGCCAACCTATCACTCAAAAATCAATTCAATATCTTATTAGAAAAGGTGTGTAAGTAGTAGTTTTTGTTAATCACCCTATTTCACAAGATACTTAAATTTACAGTAGAAAAATAACTCATTACAACCCTATTTTTTTTAAAAAAAAATTCTATTACAATTTTATCCTTATATAAAATTATTTGAAAATACTCAAACCTTAAAAATTCAAAATCTGTGTTTCTTTTGCCATTTATATGGCGATCCCAGTTTTGACCTGACTTTTGTTGTATTCCGGACTCGGGTTCCATGGTTGTATATTGTTGTCCATGTCTCGTTTTCCTCCTTTAACTCTTTGAATTTGATCTTTGGAATATGTTGAGTGTGTTTGGAACAGGTTGGTTGTTAGTTGGTCTAGATTGTTGTTGCCTAGATTTTGGCTTCTTCGCTCAAGTGAAGCTTCTTGCACTTGAGCGAGCCTTGTAAAATTTGCTCTTTCGCTCGAACGAGGTTTCTTACGCTCGAGCGAGAATTGAGAGTCCTCAGGTTTCTTTTCCAAACGCAAAATTTCTGGAAAGGTGAAGTGCTTCGCTCGAGCGAGGTTTCTTGCGCTCGAGCGAGCGTGTGCGTCTGTAAAACTTCTGAAGCTTTGCATTTTGCGTTCGAGTGACGCTTCTTGCGCTCGAGCGAGGTTACTCGAGCGACAACTCCTTCGCTCGAGCGAAGGTCGCGTATATCAGTTTGCAGCAACTCATTCTTACATAGAAATTTTACATCTTTTTGCCCCAAAACCCTAATCTGGCATTCTCTCTCTAAAGCGCTCTCTCTTTACAAATACTCCATGATCTAAGGGTCTCTCCACCCTACTCCCTTTGATAAAGAGTTAAAGCATCTTGTGGGCTTCCTCTTGATCCGAACAAAATTGAGTTTGGACACCTTTGAGATTCTTCTTCATCTCATTTGAGCTTTTACACTTGAGGTAGGGACATTCTACACCTTGATATGGTTTTTAACCTAGGTATTTGCCATTTTGTATAAGTGGTGGAATATAGGAGGATGTATGAATAAATGGTGTAGTTGGATTTGATTAATTACTCATCTATGAAAAATTTGATAAATTATCTGTTGATAGATTGTATATCTGTTTAGAAATGTCTATTTTGGGCTATCGGTAGAGGATGGTTATGATTGCTGTAGAAACTGTATGAGGACTAGGTGAGTTGAAACTAGTCATTTAAATTATGTCATTGAATATAACGGTTTGATTAAACCATTGAATATGTGATTTGGATAGTGATTGTATATGACAACACCTTTAAATACATTATATATGTATCATTATTTGGGAGGAGATAGGGGATATACTCCATTGTTTGGGAGGAGATAGGAGATAGACTCCATTTTAAATTAAGTTGGCCAGAATGTCTAGGGCGAAAGTCCCGAAACCTTATATGTGTATATGTAGGTGTCGATTCTCTCGGACGAGAACCCGTAAAATAGCAAGAAGTTTGAAGTGTTCGAATAATGAATGTTATTGAAATGTGAATGAATGAGTTGTAGTCTCATTTGAGATTGTTTAGATGATAAGGAACTATTGTCACGACCCAAACCCGCCCCTATGGGTTTAGTATCGTAACCGGCCAATAATCCGTGATTACCAAAGGCCTGCTTAACGGTAATGACAATAGTACAGAGTAAGGGGCTGGAGGAAGTCAAACAGTAAATAAAAAATGTCCAATGAGCTGTGAAAATCTGAATGGAAAAAGACTTTTATGGACATAACCACATTCAACCATATACATATACATATATACACATATTAGATACACATAGCGTACAGGTTAAGGACCTAATCCATTTACCACAGTCAAGTCTTATTCAGTCGGTACAAAACAAGGACAAAATGGTGAATCTAAAGCAGCCCAAAAACAGCCTTGGCTTGAGCGGACTCGGAACCTTGAAGTGATGCACAACGGTTGGCTGGACAAAACATGAGCTTAACTCGACGCTTCTAGCTTCGGTCCGGTGCCTGGCCACCTACATACATATATAAACTGTGAGCTAATGCCCACTGAATAACAAATGTGTAAAGGGATTAAGAATGAATGTTCTTTCAGTAATTACAACAGTCATTTGCATCAGTAGATCAGTTATTCAATCAGTGACTCATAGTTCATGTCATAACAATCGTTTAAAAACCATAGCAGTCGTATGTGGTACATCCAATAGCAGAACAGTATAGTAGGTCTTAGTAGATCAAACAGTCAGTTGATGGCCATCGAAACAATATGCAGTATTGGTTCTAAGCATTGGAACTAACAGAGATCTCTGAAACAGTAGCAGTAACAGTAACAGTACAGTAGCAGCAAGTTGCTATGGATGCCACGAGTACAGTTCATAAAATAGGACAAACATTCATTCAATAAACAATGTCACTTTAGAAAGTAGTACAGTCGATCGTTCAAAAAATAATTATAATTGAACATATCTTTACAACATTGTTACTCACAGATTACTGGGCTATAGACAGGCTAATCAACGTCCTCAGGTGCCAACCCTACACAATAGCAGAACAAACACACACTAAATTACACACTCGGGATTAATAACTTAGCCCCTATCTTGACTTGGTGTGGTTCTATAACATTATCCTCATTAAGATGTCTTAAACGTGGCCTAGGAATGCCTGTGATGGAATGAGGATGCAAAAAAATGCACTTAACAACATTTTTCCAAACTTGCTGAAAACAGTGGTCTCGCTCGAGCGTGACTTTCTTCACTCGAGTGAGTTTACCGAAACAGAGAGGTCGCTCGAGCGTAGACTCCCTCGCTCGAGCGATCTGTAAAAATGTGAAAAGTACTGGTTGCTGAAATTCTCCGCTCGATGCTCACTCGAGCGTGAGACACAGTTTCTCGTTCGAGCGTAGGTCTCGTCGCTCGAGCATGTGTTTGCACACACAAAAACTTGAGAACTTGCAATTTACGCTCGAGCCAGCATTCCGTCTCTCGAGCGGAGCTCTGAACACAAAGGTGGTCGCTCGAGCGTGGAAGCCAAAATCTGGGTTTTCCAGATTTGCTCCCAAAGCTCAAACCAAGAATCAAACATATCAAAACTCATCCTTTTGGGCCAATTTTCTGGAAAACACTTAGAAACCCATAATACAACATGTTTTAAAGATCATTTCATAAAATCAAGCCCAAAGGTGTGACAATTGAACATAATT